GCCGCGCCGCGCGCCGCCAGACTCTCTCTCCCTCCCTCCCCTCTCGCTGTTTCCCGCGAGGTCGGACGGCTGTCTGGGTGTCACCCCGCTGAACATACAGTAGAAGCGGGGGCCCAGGCACGAAACGGGCGTCGGGCGGGCACCAGCGAAAGAGGCGGGCGGGCCCATCGGGGAACCGCCCCCTCTGGAGCCGCGTGCCGAGCGTTGGCCCGCTCGCGGGTCGCCCTGCTCCCTCTTCCGTCCTCCGTACTCCCTCCTCCCCTTCCTCCTTCGCTCGCCCTCTTCCTCCCCCTCGAGACGCGGCGAAACCTATTCCGTAATGCTGGACCATGGAGAGCCAGGGCGCCCTCGCGCCTCGAGATCATGCCAGCGTTTTTCCAATGCCGCATCTCTTCTCGTCCCACCCAAGGGGGCGCGGTTCTGCTCGCAGTAGAGCCGCTTGGACGCTAGATCAAGGCGCTGGTTTGGTCCTGATGGTTTTGCGGTGGTTGGAGGTCTGGTTGTCCGATGGGCATGCAGATCGGAAAGCGCGCGGCTCGGTGCCAAACGGGGGAATTAACTTGTTTGGTCCCTACTGTATTCTCGTGGTTTGGTGGATTTCTGTTTTGCTCTTATCTTCTCCAAGCATCGCTTTTCTGAAGGTGGCCTCGGGGATATTGCAAGGATTTGGTGAAAGTCCCAGGCCGATTTAGGTAGGCTACCGGGTGCCTGGGTTCCTGGATCAGGGTCCTGGGTTCTGGTTTTGGGATTTCCAGAGTGCGGCAAAGTGCGCCGGAGTTCGGTGAGCGACTGGGTTACTGGGTTCTTGTTTCCGCGTCTTCGTGACAATTTCCCGCCGATTCCTTGGATGGTTTGGTTCCCAGCTTCCAAGAACAGAGAGTAGAGAGAAATGGAGAGAGAGAGAAAGAGTAGTAGGGATTTGCATTGAGTACCTGTATGTATATTTGTGTACACATTTTGTATACATATGTATATATGAATTTATGTCTATGTATACATACATGTGCACGTACATAGCATACATCACATACGGTGTACATCGATCCACGCATACATATATACACATATGTATATATAAATATCATATCGCAAGGAGAGTACAGTACACATCGTTTATCACATTGTGAACGAGTAAAGAGCACAGGACATAGCGCAGAGGGCATCATAACATGGGCAGCAAACGTTTTAGAACAGGGACACGTGGAGAGGCGATATTAGAGAACATCAGGAATTTAGTGGAGAGTGAAGACCAGCGGGTAGATATCAAATGCGCAGCAGGGGGTTACGAGTAAGTATAATAGACAGGATTTTGTATACATATGTATATATGAATTTATGTCTATGTATACATACATGTGCACGTACATAGCATACATCACATACGGTGTACATCGATCCACGCATACATATATACACATATGTATATATAAATATCATATCGCAAGGAGAGTACAGTACACATCGTTTATCACATTGTGAACGAGTAAAGAGCACAGGACATAGCGCAGAGGGCATCATAACATGGGCAGCAAACGTTTTAGATCAGGGACACGTGGAGAGGCGATATTAGAGAACATCAGGAATTTAGTGGAGAGTGAAGACCAGCGGGTAGATATCAAATGCGCAGCAGGGGGTTACGAGTAAGTATAATAGACAGGATAAGGTATATGCGAGAGTGGCGGGGGGGGGGAATTAGAAAGTAGAGAGTAGAGAGTACAGAGCACCTAGAGCACTTTCGCCGTCCTTTGCTCCTTCCCACGACCAGCGCGCTGCGCTTCCTACTTCGCTGGGGCACCATGTCTCAGACATTCAGGTATCCGATTCAGGAGCACTTTGTTTCGGGATGGGCTCGGGTTTTCTTATGGCCTTCATCCCTTGTCTCCCCTCTGGCGCTGCTCGTGAAGCTCGGCGCGACTACGCCCCTCTCTCTTTCTCTCTCTCTCTCTCTCGCTCTCTCTCCCGAGAAAGAGAAGTTTCGTTCGTTGGTCAAGTTCTTGATCGGAAGTCCAGTATGGGGGTGAGGGCGGGGAGCGAGAGAGGGGGACGGGGAGGGGGTCGAGGGGGTTGAAGGGAGAGGGTGGGAGTATGGGGAGGAGGGATAGGAGGTGCAGGAAGGTTCGGTTGGAGGGGAAAGGGGAGGATCATATAGGAAACGAGTACGATCTGCGTTGCAGTCGGTCTTTTCCATACTGACAGTGCAAATCGAGTCAGAAAAGGAGGAGACGGGGCTGTGAGGGGTGAGGGGGAAATAAGGATTGAACGAGGGCGGCGATGGAAGGGAGGGAATGTGGGGGGATAGGGTGATGGAAAGTGGTGCTTGGAAGAGGACGATGGAGGGCGGAGGGGAGGGAGGGAGCGCCCTGTGAGAGGGAGGGAACCGAGCGCAGCAGTGACCTCGTGGCCCTTCGCTTATGTACCGCTCTGGCCGGAGCGAAGCAGACCCGAATTCGGCCCGACTGTTCGATCGATTTTCCTCCTCCTCCTGCTCCTCCTCCTGCTGCTCCTCCTCTTCCTCCTCCTCCCAGTGAAGTGAGAAGAGAAAGCGTTTGATGGTTTGGAGGGGGGGGGGGCGGTGAGATATAGAGGGCAGGCGTTGCTCTCCTCCTTCGCCTGCTTCGTTCCGCGGGTGGCTGCTCCTTAGGCTTGGCATCCCTCGGACGTGTGCCTTGTTTCTCGGCGAGGACCATCGAGGAGCATCCTGGATCATCGAGCAACAAAGAGACACGCACGATGCCGACAAGTGAACAGGGAGTGGACATCCGAGCGAAGGCAAGCAGGGCTGCAGAGGATAATTTGTCGGGACTCGCATCAGCGCCTGCTTCCGCGTCACGACTTCACCACATCTGGTGCCCCATTCTGTCTCCTACAGCCAAGACGCTGAAATAAGAGAGAGCGTGATCCACCGCCGCTTTACTGTGAAAAATTGCCAACCTTTTCCTCCGGAACCCGGGGGTCGCTCCCCCCCCCCTCCGAAATCCCCCCCCCCCTGCTGGACCCCCCCCCCCCCCCTTCCCCCGGCAGGGCCCCCCCCCTCCCCTAACCCCTTCCCCCCCCCCCCCCCTTCCCCCGGCAGGGCCCCCCCCCTCCCCTAACCCCTCCCCCCCTCCCCCCCTCTCCCCCTCGGGGACCAGGGGGGGTCGCTACCGGTTCGAACCCCTCCCCCCCCCCCCCCCTCCGATCCGGAAAACCGGGGGGGGTCACTACCGGTTCGAACCCCCCCCCCCCCCCCCCCTCGAAAACCGGAGGGGGATCACTACCGGTTCGAACCCCTCCCCACCCCCCCACTCACCGCCAGCAAACGACTCCCGGTCCCTACCACCGTCCGCATCACATCCTCCACTGTTGTTCCCAGCACCACTGTCCTCACCACCACTGTCCCCACTGTGTCCCCACCAGTGCCCCCACCACTGTCGCACTGTCCCCACTGTCCCCACCACTGTTCCCACCACGGTTCCACTCTCCCCACTGTCTCCACGGCCCCAACCACTGCCCGACTATCCCCACTGTCCCCACTGTCCCACTGACTCCGCCGCTGTCCCACTGAGCTGTCCCACTGTTCCCACCACTGTCCCCACTGTCCCCACCACTGTCCCCACTGTACCTCTGTCCCATTGTCCCACCGCCGTCCTCGCCACCGCCTTCACCACTGTCCCCACCACCATTGTACCCTCCACTGTCCCACTGTTTCCACCTCATTCCCACTGTGCCCACACCACTGTCCCCACCACCACCGTCCCCACCACTGTCCACTGTCCCCCCTGTTCCCACCATTGTCCCCACCACTGTCCCCACCACTACCGGCCCTCTACTGTCCCACTGTCCCACTGTCCCCACCACTGTCCCGCTGTCCCCTCACCACTGTCCCACCAACACCGCCCCCACCTCTGTCCGCACCCCCACTCGGTTTTCGAGGGGGGGGTGGGGGTTCGAACCGGTAGTGACCCCCCCCCCTTTTCATGATGAGCTGGGGGGGGGGGGGGGAGGGGTTCGAACCGGTAGTGACCCCCCCCGGTTTTCCGGAGGGGGGGGGGAGGGGTTCGAACCGGTAGTGACCCCCCCCGGTTTTCCGCCAGCAGCGGTAGAACACGCTCTTTCTGAAATAAGGACCACTGTGGGCTCAGAAGGGGCTTGAGTTTTCGGGCTGTTCCTTAGATTTGTGTCTTGGGACTTGCTGCTTGCCCAGGCCCGCCGTGGCCAGAAAAGCCCCTCCGTTCCTTATTATGCGTTCCTTCTGGTAGCACGATGACTGTAGGAGGAAGGGGAGCCAAGGGCCGAGGACCGCTGTTCTCGGACCTTTTTGGCTTGTGGCTTGTCTTGGGGCTCCGGAGGCCCCCGGTTCTCTCAGGAGAGCCCTGGGGATCTCTGGTCCAGGGAGGCCTCCAGGGAACCCCTCCTCCATGCCCACCCTCCTTTTCCTCCCTCCTTCCTCCTTCTCCAACTTCCCTTCTTGCCTTCTTTATATCATCACTCTTCTCCTCATCCTTGTCCTTCGCATTATTGTTTCATGATTATTCGCAGTCCTACTCAAATGATGATTCTCCCCCTGCTTCTCTACATTTGTCTTATTATGAGTTTTCGTTTCGTTCTTTGTTTCCATCTCAGCCCTATTATTGCGAATACTATCCAGCTGCCTGCGGCAACCCCCCACCGTGCCTGTGCAACAGTGCAGCAGAAATGAGGCTTACTGTAGGAACAGCGCAATTCCCACGAGTAGTCTGCATTAGGGCGTGTCGTGATCCCGACCTCGTCTTCCTCCGCGTGCCACGGAGGAGGAGGAGGAGGAGGAGGAGGAGGAGGAGGAGGAGGAGCAGGAGGAGGAGGAGGAGGAGGAGGAGGAGGAGGAGGAGGAGGAGGAGGAGAGTGAGAAAATGAGGATCAGGAGGAGAAGGCTTCTTGGGGCCTCCTTGGGGCCTTCTTGGTGTTTCCTGGGGGCCTCCGGTGAGCTTTGTGAAAGCTTCTTGCGGGCCCCTTGAGGGCCTCACGGGGCCTCGTGGGGCCTC